AAAATCGAGAAAAGCCAAAGAACTCACGGGTTCCTTGACATCGCCAGCAACCGATAGGCCAACAGACCGAGTGTATGATTAGCCAAGCCTTGTACATGCACAAATAAGTAAAAGAAAACGTTATAATACTCAAATTTAACATTTGTTTTCATAAAATATGCTTGTAAACAACGCATACTTCAAGCACACAAACCTGCAACGACATCACCTAACAAGGACAAATTAAATATCAAATTAGCCACCACTGTTCCAGCCAATGAAAGACGAGAAAACCTGATGCGCGGAGAAATTAAACCGTCATCACCTATACCCTCGCCCACACTCTAAGCATATTGGTTGTAATGATTAGTGTTTCATGCGGAATCAGTCGAAACATCGCTATAATGAAGAAGATGGAGTAGGTGGAGGGTAATGTCATCTACACAAATAGTTTACTTCTTGTAGAAGCTGCAGCTTTCGACATAGTGCCATTCAATGAAGACCACGTCAAAATGTAGCTATTTTTGTGTGCAGAACAGTACTGTTTGACAAAAGAATGCTATCAGTACGTTGGAATCACCTATAAATGCTAACAGAACCCTCTGTGGGAACAGAAGTTATCATGTAGCCGTGTCTTTCACTGTATGTGTTTGGACAGGAATTATGGTAAGTTGAAAGGTTATCTCTAAGTGAATTTAATACATATTTACATTGATTTGCGCAGTATAATATGGGTTATGTATTAATATTGTGCCATTGTTTGCTTAGCTGACTGCTACGCTAAGAAATGTAGGTAGCTCTCGTGATTGTTGCAAGTGCAGTGCATTTGAGAGGATTAGAGGTTTTGCGTGCACTTTGGAGTGTGAGGGCGATTGTTACTTCCCGGCTGCCCACACCGTGGAAGTTGTGAATAACTGCAGAATAAACGTAAAAGCCAATGTGTAAACGAACGGCTACAGAACTGCAATCCAACATGGCCGACTAACATGGACGGAAATGACCTTTGAGCGTCTCACCCATCAATGACCTTGAACATGCGGGATAATTTCAGCCAAACTAGTGTGGGATTAATATAGAGTTTACCACTTAGTTGCTCGCTTACTGACTTGGCAGAGCGACGCTTTTAATCTATATTTTCAATAGACCCGGCACTGTTCAACTGTCTGCCAAAGATCGAGGTAAATGTGCCATCTATTCTTAAATTGGTGACATACAGAATACTCAGCCTAAGATAAGCGCCTCTGGCTGCTAGTCATTCTTTCCGAGAAGTCACAGTAGAGATCCTGAAAGGTTCTCATGGAGTCTTTCAGCAAGATTTACCTGAAACGATCTTCTGACACTCAGTTCTTAAGTCTTCACTATGCCCTATGTTTAGTTTGACTCCTTGTGAACCATCATGCAAACCATGCTTTCAGCTTTGATTGTACAATATGCTGAGTGCTTGCCGACAACCTTGAGTAGTGCTCCTTAGTGTGTAATTTGACTACGTGGGGATGGTATTTGAGATTGCTGTAAGAATATTAGTATTTATTATTGTTCCCTGGGGTTCCTAGTGGAACATAGGGCTTCAACTGCACGTCTCCAGTTGCTTCTGTCTTTTGCTGTACTTTTCACTTGCATCCATGTTAATCCATATTGTTTCAGTTCCTCTTCACACGATCTCCTCCATATCACCCTTGGACGTCCCACTCGCCACTTCCCTTTCGGGTTCCACTCGAGTGTTGGCCTGACGCGCGATGTCACCCAGCGGCCTCCTCAGCGAGTGCCCAATTCATCTCCACTTCCTCCTGCATATTTGTTGAGCGACTGGTTCTTGTTTTGTTTGTTCCCATAGCTTCTTGTTGGTGATTCTTTCCGGCCATCTCATCCTCAGTATGGAACGAGGAGAGCTGTTGATAAAGGTCTGCAACAGGCTGTTGGAAATATTCTTTGTGACCCACTGGCCAAGTTTCTGATCCATCCGTATAGAAGAACTGACTGACTTGACGTTTGTATTGAAAATCCGAATTGTGTTGTTGATGCTGAGTGACGAAGATTTCCAGATTGGTTTCAGGTTAATGAATGTGTTTTTCGCCTTTCCGATTCTCGATTCGACAACCTCGTCCTTTCCTTCTGAAGTTGAGACAATGCTCCCTAGATAAGTGAATGAAGTAACCTCTTTCAAATCCCTATCGTTGATGGTGATTGGCGCTGTATGTTGCTGCTGCTGTTGTTGTTGTTGGTTGGTTATTTTCACAACTGCTGTAAGAATAATCACTTTTAACGCCTAACAGTATCCCTCATTTGATAGTTCTGTTCAGTTTGTGAACCATTAATTGTCAGTTAAATGCCTTTGTATTTTGATGGAGTAGATGCTATTTTAGTATATTCAGGGTTGAGTAACGTCTCACTGTAGGCTCTCGCAAAGAACCACATGAAACACTGTGGCTACATGGTCACTGCTACTTATTGGGGTCCTAAACTAAAATTTTTCTACTAGCAGCTGATCACTAGGTAGGATGCATTCCACTTCTGAAGACTTTCCACTGGAGCGTAGTCTAGTGGCGTCTTGAAAGTTTTCAATGAATCTGACATTCCTGGTGGTGTGTAGCAAATTTAGATCAAATCTTTCATGAACACACCCAGACTTTAGTTTATTCGAGAGGGCAGTGAAATCCTTAGCCACATTTATTTTGTCATAGCCCAAGTTACGTATCGTTGAAATAGTGCTGGACAGTAGCCAGTTATGTAACGCTTTACGGAAAGAAGGTCAGCAGACGAGGCTTAATAAATGCTTGGTGCAACCTAGGGCGAAATAGTGCCATATTGAGTCATGGGGTTCAGAGAGTGACAGGTTTGTGCGCATCTCAGCTGCTTCTGCAAGTCTGTCTGCTTCCTGATGATCCATGACCCTCTCAATATGGACCATATCGCATATTCTGACTACCTTGTAGGCAGTAGTCAGGGTTAACCAGGATTCAGTCAGAATTAGCATTTCAAAATCCAGACGGCACTGGAATTAAAATTATACTTCCTGTCAGTGATTTGACGTTTCAGTATAAGTAAATGAACGTACGCCTCTCGACTAGTTATGGATTGGTTAAACTGGAGTGGAGCTTCTAAAGTGAAAATAATTCCAGAAACAGACCATCAGAACATTAGCTGAGAGCAGCAAAGTTTAGTTTATTAGACATTAATATATGAGAAAAACAGGAGGTCGACCAAGAATGGTTAATTCCGAAGATGCATATATATTTGCTTTCCAGTCAAAACTTCCAGGAGAAATCAACATTCTTCGGGATTGAATTTCTTGTTGCGACATTGTTGGTAGTCAACTTGGAGCCGTTGTTGAAAGCATTACAGTGTAAACATTCCATGCATCAGAAACACTGCTCCACAGTTTGTTGATCCAAGGCTGATAAGCTAAGGCGTTCTATGATAATGCTCACTGTACCTCCTTGACAGTTTGCTGGATAGTAAAGTCACAGCCAATTAATGGCTTTTGTAATTTCATATTAGTTTGTTTATTAGATATATCACACAGTGAAACAGTATCATTTACTGGATACTGTTTCACTGTGTGATATTTATTTTATTTTTTATTTTTTTGATTACAGCTTGATGCCACACCGTATTTTCAGTACAAGTATGGCATTTTCAGCATTGATATCGGTGGCTCAAATTTTGCAGGCCGACCATAGATATCGGGTGTGCGTCGGTAGGGGATCGAACCCCGGACCACGTGCACGGTCGGCGAGAGTCCTAACCACTGTGCCACCGACACAACAAACAAACTAATATGGAATTACTTACTACCACAGTGCCCAAGTCTTACACATATATTAAATTGCTTTTGTAGCCAGCTCGGATAGCATAATTCGCTAGTTTAATCATAGGGGAACTAAAAGTTCAGTTCGTTCCCTAGTAGGAATACCAAACTTTGAGATCCATCACGAAAACAACTGAAGGGCTTGGTTAAGTCCATTAGTAATCAGGCAGAATGTTTCCCATAAGATAGGTATCCTTCAAATCGTTTTCAGCAAGTTACAATGTTTCTCCACGTAGATACCACATGGTATCTCCAACTTGGGTCTGATGTTTGCAGTGAAGGCATCTTTAGTGGTTTCTTCAGTCAGTTCCTGGGTGTTGAAACTGAACTGTCATCCATCTCCGAATTCTGTGAATGCGTTCAATTTGACCCCGAAGGTTACATTCATTAAACAGTTGTTTGAGCCACACCTCCTCCACTCCTCGATTGTGCGTCCAGCAGGCTAATTCCACTTTCCTGAAATTAGAATTAAGTCCATCTGCTACTTGGTCTGCATATCTGGTGTAACCCATGTGATTTTGTGTATGTCTTTGTTCATGTGCTAGCTCTCTTCAACCACCAAAGCATTGAAGCCGCTGAAATATGCTCTTTGGCTTTTGCCAAGAGTGGGTAAACAGGAGTTAATATAAGTTTAATGTCATTAAGCTTAAAACTCTCCCTTTATGCAGCTCAAGCTTTTCCAGAACCATATAAGATGGTGACCTAGTTGTCTTTATGACCAAGAACCTAGTTACTGATAGGAAACTATCTGGGATATTCGGCAGACAGCATAACGCACTACATTTGATTAGAAGGCAGACGAATGCAATCACACTATAGATAAGACTCTATAAAATCTATGTTTGACCCCACCTGATAGTCTACTTTATCATCTCTCCATCATTTTATCCATTATGGGTTTGTGCGCTGCAACAGTGCTCAAGTTGTATTCTTATGACCCAACACAGATTTTTTTATTATAGCTTGATTCCACACGGTATTAAGGGTACAATTGTGCAATTTTCAGCATGTGATATAGGCCGACCAGTTGATATCAGCTATGCGTCGATTGGGGATCGAATCCCAGACCATGTGTATGGTCGGCGAGAATCCTAACGGCCGCGCCACCGAGCATGATCAGGAGTAACTTTGTCAATATCAAAAATCAAAGCAAAATAATCAAATGATCTCATACTAGCTTGTCGGAAGTTAATTGGACGCCTTAAATATCTCAATGAGTAGTACGTGTTCGCAGTTTTCAAACTCAGAAGCTACAATTATGTCATTAGATCCGAAGTATGCGAATTTGCCATGGATTGTAAGTTCAGATAAGCAAGAAATCTTATATGAATTAAGGCACATGGACAACCTGATGTTTATGAGGCTGGAGAACTGCCAGAGGCTGATCAATATGTTCAGGTGCTTGCTATTATAGATAAGTCTAAACGTTTGTAGGATACGTTGCAAGACACAGTGACAGCAAAAGAAATCGAAACCGTCAATCTGTCGGTATCCGAGGCTCACAAGAAGTTTGCTAGCTTCAATGTTGACGCTTCCAACGTCGGTTAGTTTTATCGGTTGTAAAGTGATTGCAAACTTAAGACTTTTCCGACAGTATATCAGGCAGTGGCAAGATTGGATATGCCGTTGAGACAAATCAATATGATTTTGTAAGATTTACTGATTTGTTGTTATTCCTTAGCTTTCTTCCGAGTCTAGAAACCAAGAATCGCTTTTAAAAAGATTTCAGCGTTTGCAGACTGAAACTCATGAGCTAATTAAGGATATTCAAAGCATATCTGATCAGAGTGAAGTAAATCCCAAGGAACCTTTTCCCGCATCAAAAATGTTGTCTTGTGTGGAAACACTTTGCGAAAAGTTAACTGAAATACAGTCTACTGATTTAACTACTGTCTCTTTGGATGGATCAGATGCTGTCGGGAAAACATTGCACAGGTAAGCTGTTTTTTAATTAAAGCTGCAAGATAATGTAGCAAACTGCACCTCAGTGTGATAAATTCATCAGTGGAATTCTTCAGCAAGTATGTGTATATACTTGGGCTAGTTTTATTTTTAAAACTAAGTGTTCGACGTCATTTCTTCACGGATGCATAGTAATGGAGATTATTTTATTCAGATCACCTTAGACTTTGGACTTACATTATATTTTGTGCTCATAGTAAATCTACCGGGCAATTAAGTATTCACACATTGTTTATTTACTTCTTTGCCTTCGTTAACACAGTAAGGAGACTTATGCTTTGTTTCGTTCTGTAGTTCTGCATATTAATATATGTTTTGTCTTCTAATTCTGTGGATAAATCTGAGCATTGGTACGCAAATTATCTGGTCTTTGTACTTTGAATGTAAAACTGATTCCAAATCCATTATTGCATAACTAGGTTTACGAAAAATTCTATTTAATCAATGGAGTTGTCATTTCTAAGATTATGGTCTTCATGCGCTTATGGATTCAATAAATATAATTCATTCGGTTAGGTTGTTACTTCACTTGGCTATTTAAGAATACTGGGACTCTTACTCAAAACTTAGCCGGAATACGTTTTTCTCGCGCTGGACTGTGTGCCACATTCAGTATTTTGGACTGGTAATACTGTCTAGTTGTCCAGGTTGAATTAGATGAGTGTGCAGTTCTCATCAGGGGCCTGCTGTTTGTAAGGCAATTGTTCAGTCTGTGAGTCACATCACTATTAAAACGACAAAATGATTGGATGTTAGTTCCAACTGCTTGTATATCCCCCCTCAAAAGGAAATGATCGGTATTTGAGTTGGTCCTTCAAGTATAACAAAGTATTAGTTAAAGCGATAATTGTAAGCATTAATTACCATGCTACTTTGCTTTTAATTCAATATATTAAATATTCCCATAGTAAAATTTAGAACAACACATTTTTTAGAACACACACAATTTTAATTCAATGTTTATTTTCCCGTCATTTACTTGAACCGAGATGTCCGGTGTCTCTTGACATGTTGGCGCCTAATGTAGACGTTCCAGCGATGTCTTTGGCGTTTAAAACAATGAGTACTGAGTTCGAGCCTCAGCGGGGACACCATCAATTCCTGGGGAATGCAGGCACGTATGGATAACGGGTCACAAATAGGACGAAATGCTTGATTTCACTGCTAGTTGCTATCTAACAAAAAAATTACCACGGTTAAGAACAATTTTTACTCACCGTTTTTGTGTACTATATATTCTCTGGGCTTCCAGGTCAAGAATGTGTACGGCTCATCACGACGCATATTTAAGCTTATGTGAAACTTTCGGTTTTCAAACAACATATATCTACTCCTGACTTTTCTGACTATTGTTTTTCCCTTTGTTAGTTGTTAGGATATTTCCACATGCATTGTATGGTGATGATTGTTGTATTTTCTTTGACTTTAGGACTGTCATCAGTTGGTTGGAAAATTTGTCTTTTTACATAGATTAATATCATCATCATTAATATCATCAACGTTTCATACAAAAACACCAGTTAGAACCGAGACATACAACCGCTCATCTCGATTGTTTTCATCCAGCAATGGAAATAAACAAGGTTTCTCGATCTCGTCATTTCTCTTAAACTTTGAAGGTGGTGACATTCTGAAGGCAGCTTAGAATAATGTGGGTGGTTGGAAAATCAATCGAAGAGTCTATAAAGTTACATAGATTGAGATGGCTAGGTCACGTGCTGCGCATGCCTAGCCATCGCCTCCCCCGACGGGCATTACTAGCTGATATAGGTGCAGGTTGGAAAAGAGTAAGTGGTGGCCAAACAAAAACATGGCACCAATCCATGAAATCCTTGACAGTTAAACTGAGTCAGGTAGGCAGATGCAGACTTCCGGGTTGGGGCCCTCGGGACTCTAATGGCTGGAGACAATAGGTGACATGGCTCAAAATCGTTGTCAATGGCGCAGATGTATTCAGTCTCTGTAATCTTTCATATTCCTTTCTACCATTATTCATTCTGTTTCACTCTTATACTTGTCAAAACTCTATTGATTCTCTTCACTCATTTTCTTGTCTACCTTAGTGTTCTCTTTGGAACGTGGCAACTCGAACTGCTGCACTTCGGTGCCAACTTCTATGTTGAATCCAGCCAGCCAGCAATGTGGGTGGTGATGTAAATCTCTATCCACCCCCGTCAAAATTTTTCGATTTGATAATGTAGAGGATATCGTACCATAATACACGGGCTTCTCAAATAGCACTTAATACTATAAGTATAAAACTTGGGCACTGTGGTAGAGCATAACTCCATTATGGATAAGATTTTATTTTGATAAATCACAGTGTTGTACAGTAATATTAACTGATGACGTTTCGAGCACAAACTATTGCTCATAATCATATCAATAGCAATAGTTTGTACTCGAAACATCAGTTAATATTACTGTACAGCACTGTGTGATTTATCAAAATAAAATCTTATCCATAATGGAGCACTTAATAAGTTAGCATTACTGTTTGTAAGTGGTGTACTAAGTCACAAACCTCTTTATGTCTAACTATAATCCTTTTTAGACGTTGAATCTACTCCAAGCACACAGTAATAATTACGTAATGCAGTGGGAAAATATTATCAAAATATAAGAATTAATGGAATTCTATTAATTATATCTGAAAGTTATCTGAGTTTCTTGATGTAACTTTAAGAAATAAATTGTGCTGGAAATGTCATCAGTGAATAAGTAATACTGTTATATCAAACAAATTATTCTGTTATGGAATTTCTAATTACCTACATATAATAAGTTTAAAACTGCGAGACCTTCCTTAATCTTTACATTGATAACGTATCAAGATTTTTTTTATGAAAGTAGTTGATAATACGTTGTTTCTCCTAAAGGCAGCGAAATTAACCAAGTATTAACAATTTTCAGCAAAATTTTGAAGCAAATCGATGAGTTCAAACCAGAAAAGCCAATGTCCAGAAAAGTAGATGAGTCCAGCCACTTAGTTTATGAAATATACGATGGTAAAAGCATCATCCAGCAAACAGATGCTGAGAAAGTAAGTATTCATATAGTGTCTACATTTTTTTGAATAACTGAAATCGTTTTTGATGTTTTGAACTCCAGGGAAACAATTGTTTTACACTGATTAGCATATTAGCAGAAGTTGATCATTGACTTTATTGCTTCAGAAAAATTTGCACTGAACTCAAAGATCCGTTTGCAAGTTTCTTCCCTATATTCATTGAGTATTTTAATCGTTTTTGACCATTATCAGCTTCTGCTTTGAATGAATATTAGAATAATAATGACTTAATAGTGACAGCTCGAATAGTATTAGGACTGATTAAAGTGGTCAGAAGAAAATTAGCTATTTTTACTATGGAAAGCTATTTCAACCTGCGTTACCTATAAAATGAATTGAGTAGGTAAGAGTAGCTATAAAATGCTATCAGTGCCTTCCCAAATACTCTAGTTACTGTTTGTTGTAACGAATTCAGTCTATCATCATTCTTTTTAAGTCTGAAAACAACTCATCAATTTACTGAGAAAGCAATTGCTTGAATAAAGTACGCCTGCATTTTCATATAGGTTTTGTATCATTTGAATGTCTCTGATTTGATTGTTCATTCCTAGTTGGCAGATATCGATCGTCGGATTCATCATATAGAGACTCTCATTGGCCAACCAGATCCCAATAGAGTGTCAGCTTTGACAGCAGATACAGTGACTCATGGTCTTTTAGAAGCATGCTCACGTTTATCCGCCCGTTCGTCGTTGTTTCAGCAAGGACATCTTGATATGATTGAAGCTCGTCTAACGTCGCTGCAGACGAAGTTACAGGCTGTGACCGAGAAGAGGGAAGCTATCGCGGACTATGATATGCAGAATAAGGTAAATTGAAAACCTGGTATACTTTCAAATGTTTGGGTTATTCATTTAGTTGATTTTATATACATTTATAGTGGTTTGTTACTAGACTGTGTCCTTATAGAAGTGTCTAATAAATTCTAGGTATTTTTTAGTTCTTAGATTAACAAATAATTTTATCATTGAACATGACTTATGGTAAAATTTGTAAGTCTTAGCAAAGTTAAAATAAATGGATTGACCATATGTGAACCATTTCTACGTGTGTATTTCTCACTTATAGGCTAACAAACTGGCATTTATGTCTCTACGTGAACCCTCAATCATAAAGTGTGGATGATATTATCCCAACATACTTGAGAGGGTAATTTTTCTCTGATGTCAGCCAGATTGAAAGTTAGAAATACTTCATCTGCATTTATCTAACCTTTTGTACTGGATCACTACTTTACATTATCAAATACTTCTTCCAGACAATCATTGCCGCAAATGCCCTTCTATTAAGTGGTAGCGACCCGTTTTGGTTTGTAGTGTTTTAAAGACACGTTTTGCAGTTAGGTCAAACGCAATGGTGTAACGGCAGAACACAAGAATGGCTGGTAACGGAATGTTTATTTGCAGTTCGGTATGCACATATAAGGAAATTAATGTATTCTACATATTAAAAGTGTCATCTGCACAGATCTTTCGTGTGGTGCTACTTCTGCTCTTCGTACTGCGTTTCTGTCTTCTTTTCGTGTCTCCTATGTTTCGCCATAATACGAGTTCACTTTTTGCAAACAAATCCATATCTCCGCTACTTGATGTATTTGGGTGCATAGACGTCTCTTTATATACTACTGGTAAATCATGTCAGTAGCACACCGCACAACAGAAGTGCAACAGTGTAAGTCATTTGAACTGTTTTTCCAAAGCGCTCTGCTAAACGATCCAGATACTTTTTCTAGTAGGTCATTTAATCTGTACCTATCTCGGAAACCATTTCCTTTGTCACCAAAAATTTAGAGCTTGCTTCCTGTGTGGGTCTAAGTAGTTGATGGGTATTACCAATTGCTGGTGTTTCTTCCAGTCCTTTCATTTTGTTGCCTACATGAGTTCATAGTCGGTATTAAGGACTCTGATCATTTTACGTTTGAGCAGCTTCTTTCCTTATCAAGTTATAAGCTTGTCGTTACCAGCCAGTTCAAACAAAGTAGCGAAAATCTGCTAATGTGACTATTTCATAACGCTCTACTTTTTGCAGCAAAATAAACAACTTCTGATAAATGCCATTAGTCTAAAGGAATTTTCCGGATAATGTTCGCTACAGCTAGCTTTGACAAGCAAGCTTGAGCACGATATCAAGATAGTACTCATGGGTCACGAAGTTAGCAGAGTATCCGTTGAAGTAACACTAATTATGTCTTCTCTTTGGTTGTTTATCAATGTTTCGAGTAAATAATGAATTACTAATATTAGGATTTTCAATCACTTTTGTGGTTGGAAACAAGCAAGCCCCCATAAATGCTTTTCATTTTAGCAGTACACTCTGCCGTTTTTATCAGTGTTGTGTTAGTCGATGTAAGAGTAAGTTGGAAGTCAATAGAAGACACTAACCAAGAATTTACGAAGTTGCATTCCGTTTGCATACAGTTAAATGGCTTGTTGAGGCTCAAGTGGGATCAATACATGCCTTCATCTTATTGACTATAATATAGCACTCTTCTTTTGTCTCACCTTTTCTCCTGTCTTGCAGTTCACTGTAAAATCTAACCGTGCTACTTCAGTTTCTATCTACTGTTTCCACATATCAAGTATGGAAACTTAGAGTTTTGTTCAGAAAGATCGAAAACACAGGCGCACCATTCGGTGCCTGACATAAGTCTACATTCCCTAACCGGAAGGCAACATCTGAGTTAGTTGATCAAGAAAACTTATAATAATGTTTACTTATGAAAGAAGTGTACGTGTAAAAATTGCCGCAATCATCGTAGTAGCTAGTATGCATGCTCCAATATTATTTTAAAAAGATCCGCACGTTTATCTACATTAAAAAGTTCGAGTCTTGGTATCCTATCATCGAAGACTGCTAAGTATAGTTATATTGACGGCGTTCTGACAAAATCTGAAGATTACACATTGTTACTGGCCAAAGAAAATTACCCTCATTCAGTTACTTCAGTATATGACCCCAAGGATTGATTTTGTTGATTATTAACATGAATATTGAATATCAATGATTCGATTTAGAAATTTTCACCCTGAACGTGTGTTTACTTATTGTTCACTTTTAGATAGCAGAACTGTATGAACTCGTGAAAAAGTGGAATGACGTGGCTGACAGTCTGCCAATGATAGTGGAACGTCTTAGTAAACTAAAATCTCTACATGAGGAAGGTAAGCAGGGCTGTGAAGCTTACTGGTGGTTCTGCTTTCTCTTTGTGGTAACTATCATTTTTCGTTCTATTATTAATAAAACACATTTTTTAGATAGTAAGTACTAATTAGGAAGATTCATGGATGCATTCATAGGATTATGACACCTGCAAATCTGTTAGTTGGTTCTGTAATTTAGTCTCAGATATTCTTTAACTTGCCTAATTACTTTAACATTTCTAAACATTATTCAGCTTAATAGAATAGTCTTTGGTTAAAATCCTTGTTTAGAGCGGATTTTTTTCCATCATATAAAAAGTAGACCATCTTATGTGGTTCAAATAGAGCCCTTTAACCGTCCAGATACAAAAAGGTTTAAGATATATTTGACTAGACAATAAGCGCAACCGATTAGGTGAAAACTATCATACCACAGGAACACCTAAGTAACCAAATACTCAATCAACTACATACCAGTGGTGATTATACTAGGAATAGGTTGCATGCAGTGTCGATAGAGTGTAGTCAGCAGCACTTATCTGCGAATCACAACTTACCGCAGTTGGGCTATAGTGCAGTGCATGACTGGCTACGTGCTCAAGCAATAAAGAAGCTAATATGAATCCTCCTAGTTAACGTATCAGTGCGGGTTGTGATTATGTCTTTTCATAACAAGCTGGTCAAATTCCTGATTCCAAAACTACCAGTCCAAAATATATGAATATACATAAAGATGTTACTAGCTTTTACAGAAAACTTCGAGTGAGTAGTATAGTGTTTCTACCTTACTTCGTCGGATTTTTTCCACCTAACCTGCTATAAACGCTTGACAGAGTCTAAGAAGAGATCAGTTATACCCGTTAGCACGAATCCATTATTATAGATGTTTATCTTTAGTGTTATCCAGTTATCTTTATCCAGCAAGAGTGTAGTGCGAAAATGAGTGTAAGCGCTCAGATTCTACCCATTAATTAACTGTCAGATTCAACTACTGTCTAAATCGAATGTTTTTCCTTTGTCTATTCAGCTTCTCAATTCAGCCAGTCTCTTGGTAACATTGAATCAAGCCAGAAAAATGTAGAAGCGAACTTAGCTTCTTACACTAAACTTTTAGCAGAAGTAAGTATTGTTTTATAATTTCTACTTCATTTCAGCTAAAAAATAACGTTTTGAAAACCATGGAAGGCGTAAAGGATAATTTCTATACAATAGAATCACATTTCTCACAAGAACCCAAATAAATCTCTCATCAGATATACTGGCAATTGTTGAGATGCACGTCCATTTCAAACTCTTTTCTTTGGAAACTGATTTTCTGTTATACTTCTTGTTTACACAATGATAACTGGTTATTGGTTTTTTTTAAAAACAATAAAAGCTTAATCGAACATTCATCGTGAAACCGTTATTCCTGGATAATTGTCTGTTATGAAAAAGTAGTTGCACACTGTTACTTATTATTGTCAAGACCTAATTTAACGTTTCGTCGCGTAATTCAAAACTCGTTTCATAATACAAAGTCTTCAGAGAACTTTGAAAAATAAAAAAACAGTCTGTATAATTATGCTTACTATTTAATCCAAGTTCAGTAGTAAAATATTGCACTGTTTTCATTTGTAGCACAGTAGTTCACATATTTTTCTAAGTAACATGGATCTTGCTAAATCATTCTTAGGAGTATTTTACCTATAACTTTAATGTTATTATCGCCATTAACCACTTGACCGAAAGATGGTTAAGGGACAGTATTTAACAGCTGATAGTGTTATAGAAACTGTCGAAGTTATTAGAATGTTTAAATATCTGCAAATTTCTGTCTTAAAGAGACTGTCACTATTTAAATACAAACGAGGCGATAATGCCAGTTGTTTCTCTTATAAGAATGAGTATCGAATTTCTCTGTTGACATCAAGCCGCTTTCAGATTAACAGAGTCAGATTATTGATTAACACTGAGTGCTAAATTGTACTAACAACAACACTAAGCAAGTTTCGTTTAATAACATTTCAATAAGTAATTTATATTTTTTGATAATAACAAAGCCAAAGAGTTTGATCAGGGTTCACAGGAAGATTTTTCAATGAAACTACTATCAAATGGTGGTCCATTAAGCATGCGGCCATAGATATCGTCTTCTGTCAATAAGCCTTTTAAAAACCAGTGCTCGACCTTCTGGAGTAGACATTCTAACGGATTCTGACATTTTTCTTTCTCTGCGAGAAAGTAAAATAGTGTTCATTTTTGAGCGGAAAAAGTTTGGTGGACCAAGTCTATGAAAAATGGGTTGCATCATCCTTTCATACGACTTTGGAAGACGATTGTTTCTGTAATTATTGCCAACTCCATTGAGCTTCTGAAATTACATGAATAAGGAAAAGTTATGAACAATATATATCTATAAGCATGGGTTGACTCCTGCATTTCATCCAGAATCATTAGTTAGTACGAGGTAATTCAATGGCTTAGTATCAAAAATATTGCTTTTCGAGCTCATTACAATACAATAAATATTAGAAAACAATAAAAACCGACGCTTGTCAACCTCAAAGTTCATACTACCGCCTACAGCTTAGAAGCGGAAGTTTCGAATGCCTTGGTGACATTGACTGCATCCGGAATTGAGAAACTTAGTCTAATATAGTACACCTTAAAACACGATATATCTCTGAGATTACGTATTTTTAGCCAATGCTATTCTATCCTCAGCTTGGATTCTTGGAACCTTTTCAGAGAAAACATTTACGAGGTCACTAATGTAAAATGTAAAGTTAGTCGTAATTGAGTTCTACTAGCAATTATTTTCTTAGTTTCTCGAACAAATGGACGAATTATCCTTGACACACTACTTTGGAAGTTTAGCTAACTTGAATTTGAGAGTGCAGTGTATGCTTCATGATATTCTGAACAGATTTAACCCTTACTCGCTTATACAAGCTATGCTTGTTTATCCTGCTGATATCAGGAATCCAAAGAATTGGATGACAGTGGATTCACATTTTCAATTTTATTACTTTGTAAAGTTTCACACTGATAATCTTGTCGTCCATATTATTTTGGTAGTTATACCTATTTGACTGTTGTTGCTACTGAAGAACTAGATATCAGTAACATCAAGAATCTAATACACTTAATCGGTTTTAAGGTAAGAATAATACTGTGGTAATGTGGGGCCATATAACTCTGTAATTAACTAATTTATTTGGTTTGGCACAGTATTATTGACTGATGTGTGAAACGTCAATTCCAGTTTCCGTCACCTTGGTTCTTACTGAAAGCAACGATTATTAAATAACACCCTATCGTTTTGTTATGTCAAACCTACTGTGGAGTGAAGGGGTCTTACCACTGACACTAATTTAGAAATTCCTACTTATCATCGCCAAAACTGATTCCCTCAAACTTACTTCTGGTTCAAAGTGCCGAACTAGGTTTAAACTACGACAGCTGGATGATTTGCGTAGGATTGAAAGAATAGGACTCCAAACAGAAATATGCATCCTGAAGTATACGGTAATTCGTAGGCAGCAGATAGGATCGCACCTTTAGGGTAAGAAGCACAAAGGATAACTTACATATTATTCACGAGTTAACAAACTTTGAGGAATTGACCTCAATAGCTTTTAAAACGATAACCTACAGCTGCAATAAAAACTTAAGGTAGAATAAGTTAAGATCGACGGTACTGTTGCCCACAAAAACCTCACTCGTTCACTACAGGGTCATCGCTTATCTGTCGAAAACAGTCGCTTCCAAAAAGACTGCATTTTGGTGCGAATCTAACATCTAGCAGGCTTCGCCTAGAGAATTTCATACAATGATTCCCTTTTATAAATTTGAACAAGGAAAGAAGAAACATCTCTGATGAGAACCAACGAAATAAAATGGATCCAGATTATTCTGCGCCAATGTTTCTTCTTTCCTTGTTCAAATTTGCCTAGAGAGTTTCACGAATGCATTTCAGAAACTCCTGGCAAAGTGCCTTGAATTACTTCGCCATATATTTGCTTACCTGAGGACCCTGTAGCATCACTGGCTGACAACTCGTTTACTTTTTCCAATCGAAATGATTCCCTAAGTGGTAATGTGCTAATTAGATACTCGAACGCACGTGTCAGATGTACACTCTTGAAGTTGAGTCGTTCTAGTAGACCATCGCAACTGGATGCTAGGTCATATAATGTACATTGTATTCTGGGGAGATTATAGCCTATTTTCAACTAGCATTGGCAGGGTCATCACCGTTGTGTTACCGGGAATCATCCCTCGGCTAATTATACTTAGACCAGCAAGGCGACTGACTACGGAAAAGAGGCCTACACATTCAAAACAGTTCACCCTAACGCATAGCGCTCCCATTTTGATTACCACTGACTCTTCTAAAGGAATGGAGTCTTCGCCACATGACTGGACATAGGATTTTCACAAGATTTCGAACAGCTCTGGTGGATGATAGTGAAGATAAGACTGTTTCTACACGTTCCAAGACAGAACGGTATCCACCATTACAAATCAACTTTGGTATTGTTCTGTTGCTATTCCGGTCAACAAATTGCTGCTACCTTTACGTGATGGTCGGATGTTAATATTACAATGGTCTAAGAAGGTATACTGTTTTTGTGGTTGTCGTCTAACTTCACCACAATGAGCTTCCAGTTGCAACACTACAACCAACTGACAACCTGGAAAATATTCCCCACACTGAGGTGGAGGCAAAATCCAGATTTAACTGTGACAATGACAACTTTATTATTGCAAAAAGAGCATATATATATATTGTTTACACATCCACGGAAATGCAAACCATAAATTAATAAGCAATATCTGATTGATTGTATGACCGTGAAGATCTTCTGGAAATAAATCAATCAAAAGTTATCGAATCAGGCTATCATGTCGTTACATGCATCAAGCATGACTTTACGGTTAACGACGATAGGTTGCATATTCCCGCTGATCCTACCATGACAGAAAGGTCGTTTTTATAGCGGTTAGATTGAAAGCAGTTACCATCTCAGTGCGACTTGTATATGCTATGATAAAGGCCTGTGGACGAAGTGGTACTATGAGTGGACAAGTGTAGTGGCAGCAACATATATCCGGTAAGTCGGATATTTCGCAGATATAGTCATCCTAGCAGAAGATTCTTACGGTCAGTTGCATTTGAGTCAGTCCGAAAAGTATATTGAGGTATCTAAAGAATCGCATGCTGAATAATTACATCGGTAACCATCTTTTATAAGCCTGCCTTGATGACTGCCTGTTCCTAAAAAGCACCAATTTTAAACATAAGGAGGCATTAACTCACTGGACGACCGCCAAAATCAAGGCAGCGATGCTATTTAACAACAAATTGCCTTTCCACGGTGTTTGTAATGTGCCATAACTACTGTATGGCAGCCACCAACACTACCTAGCAACCTAAACCTCAGTAGGTGCAGAGGAATTGAAACCTGTGATACAGTGTTTAGAAGCCTCAAAAGATGATCCACAGCTAGACAAGACAATAAAAGGTACAGCTAAACAACCTAGCCATAAATTGACCATTAAAACGATGGGTGGAAGACTGCTTTTCCTTCTGGAACACTTGCGATGAGTGCGAAAGCACGCCAGTTAGTGTACGTTTACTACTGGACAGGCATAGAAGATAATTTGTTGAATGTGCCTACCCGCTTACTCATTTGAGATAGGGCACCGGACCTAAGGGGCTAGTTTCTGAGTATATCTCAGCACGGATACAAAACTTTGGTTGAGTATCTCTCAACATTCATCATGCTTGGTGCAGGCATGTACGTTGTGCAGCAGTATGTCGCGTGTATAACAGATGATATATGTCTACTGAAAGTGGAAGACATGGGGAAATAAGCGTTTCATTGAGTTTCCTGTCTCACGCTATATAACACGGTCAATAATAACGGAGCTAGATGTAGGGCATTACTTAAGGACTGAAGGTTTATCGGTAAGGTTGTGAAGTTGTGTCGACTGAGATGACCGAGAGATGTGCTGCGAATGTGGAGGCATTATCTTTCTCGACAAACTGCTAACTCGTAGCCACGTAGAATTTGAAGCATATTTAGAGGTCCAGTGATTATGAAGACGAGATAGATTTTTATAAATGTCTAAACATCCAACAGTTAGTGACCGAGAATGGGTAACCACTTCTATGGGAAGAGTGAAATCAATTTGCAAGGTTAATATACAATAGTGAAGAGATTATAGAACCACATCATTGTTGCAGTAATAAAGACCCATTCACCAGATTAAAACTACCCTCAGAACCATCCACTGACATTTTCAATTGAAGACTAACGTCATATCTCTACATGCATGGGATTTACTGTTGCGTTTTCCAGTCTTGGAAAATAAGACATTTACGGGGTTTTTGCATACCAGTGCCTAACTATGGTTTGGAATACGCTGGGGTGAAGCAGTAAATCACAAACCAAGTTGAGTAATCAACAAGGGAGAAAAACTAAGGACTTTTTTCAACACGAACGTATACATTCGTGTAATCACCAACTGTACGCACATGAGTGACTTCTTAGGTACTTCCTGTGTTTAAACAAACTCCTCATAGTTTTCCCGTATTACCAATTATATCAAATTAGTTACCTAATAATGTCCATGGAAGACCCCAAAATTTTTTATTTAGGTACGGCCCCATATATATAACGGACTATTATAATAGTCAGTGAATTTATTGTTCTATTAAATTATTCATATAATAATGCCGATTAAGTGATTTCAACTTCACCCGGTAATTTTTCAAAAGCCCAACTAAGTACTGCATACTAGTGTTCAGTGGTTTCCCTTCCTTTCCAACTTTCTTAAGCTGGCCAACATACTTGATACTCGCCCCAAGGTTAAACAAAGGTCACGGCAGTTCAATATCCAACGTTTTCACTACTATCCAATATCCTGATTACGAGCTAGTATAAACCAGTGATTTCTTTGAGCTCGCTTCTTGATTGTAAGGTAGAGGTTCCAGATCTTCGGTGAACTTCTGCGTAGTAAGTCCCGCCACTCGACTGCTTAAGCTCTGGTAGACTCAGATTCAGATTCAGTTGATAAGGATAGAAGGCTCTTGTGGCCTGTGTTAATCCTTGCAAAATATATCTCTGCAGAGATCTAACTTCTCTTTGAAAGCGTTCACCGATGAAGCCGTTACTACTGAATCAGGTAAGGAGTTCCAGTCGTTGACCACTCTGTGAGAGAATCTAAATTCTGCACGTATTTTAATCGTCCTCGGTTTGAGCACCTTTTTGCGGTGACCCCGTAAATGTATCCTAGAAGGAGAGAAAAGTTTATAAAGGTCAGTTCCTAAATCATCCTTAAGTATACGGTATGCTAAAATTAACTCGCCTCTCTTCCTTCGGTATGATAACGGAAAGAGTTTTAAATGCTCCATCCTCTAATCATAAGGAAGGTGTGAGATACCACTAACTAATTTCGTTCCTACTCTCTGTACTCTTTCCAGGAGATATGCCTCCTTTTTGAAGCATGGACCCGCCGCTTGTACGCAGTATTCTAGATGAGGCCTGACATATGTTGCGTAGAGTATTTGGAACATGCCCTCATCTAATCGTTTGAAAGCCCTTCGGAGTGCCCATAGCATTCGAAAAGCCTTAGCTGCGGCTGCATTGCAATTTGCAGTTGTTTTCAAATCACTGCTGACAATGATTCCTAGGTCCTTCTGTTCGTTAACATCAGGTAGTTCTGTGTCTCCTAGGGAGTACGACGTATAAGACTTCTGGAAAATCTCTGCAAGCGGAATATATATTATATCCGCCAAGGAAATTAACAGTTTAGGGTGAAGTCCATCAGGCCCAGGTAATTTACCTGGCTTCAGTTTAGACAGTAGTTTGAGGACTTTTGTGTGCTCTACCACAATTGAGGGCATCTAAGTAGCGATGGCAGTGACCTCGCCATATCCCTGGGTGGTACTATCAGACGCGAAGACGTCACAGAAGTATTCAGAGAGGTTTTCAGCCTTTCCTTCGTCTGACTCAGCCGTTTCTCTACTAATGCTAATGAGTGACGGTATGCCATTGCTAGTTTTAGTCCTACGTTTAATATACGAGAAGAGCCTTTTTGGGTAATGGACACTATCTAGTACAAGTCGTCTCTCATATTCTATACGACTCGTGTTAATCGCATAATTACAGAGATTTCGAATTTTTCGGTAGTCTTTCTGGAAACTTTCCCTTCCTGTCATAATAAATTGGTCCCATAAGTTCTTTCTCTGTCTTAAGGGCCTCCTTATTTCACTAGTAATCCAAGGTGGCTTGTGCGAGAGCTTTCGAGGAGTGTACCAAGGTATAAAAGGTGAAGTGACACAATCTAGTGTATTTCTAAATCCTACCCACGCTTCCTCGACAGTTCGACTGGTATCCCATTGGGCCATATCGTTGGCATTGTCACCGATAGGCATTTGATGTCATGCAACAGATTCGCTAGAGGAATTTTGTCAGACTCTGAGCACCCACTCTACCAGCAACTCCAACCTTGTGTCTCCTCAGGTAAAACAAGAAGTCTTTTCAGAAGACTTTATGCACGTACGTCTAAGTATAAAAATTCCACTATACCATATTTAGCACGTACTTTATGTGATGAAAATAGTGTCAGAAATGAACTAACTAACCTTCTTAGCACCACTAAATAGACCATTTCCTTCAACCTTAAAGCATCATACTTTATTGCTATTGTATTTCTTATATTTATAATCCTCTCAATTTTTTCGTTTTGTTTATTTTATTTTTCATAAGTGTGGACATAATTTTAAGCTGTATTATGACTGTTAACTTTGCATTTCACCTCACTATACCATATCAACAGAACATTAGACCCAGTTATCCATAACATGCTAAAGTTTCCAAACTGAATCGACAATACCGTTTGAAACAAACTCATTGTTATGAGTATTTATTATTATTATATCTAACAATTATGTCGTAAATGTGGACAAATGCCTCGGATTAATTTTTGATTTAATTTTTAATTTTATATGCACTTTGAGTAAATCAGATGCAATATTGTGACAAATGCTAAGAATTGCCTTCTCTATTATAAGTACTGTTTTTGGAATAAAGTAAATTATTATTATTAGCTACTGACCAGTCAACTGCAGCTGCTGGGTTCCGGATTCTTTGTATATCCGCTTTCCAAATGTTTGGAGCAGATTTTGACCTGTTTATGAGAGAATGAATCTTAAACGTAAAATAAATGACTATTTGGTCACTGCTGCCAAGCGGCGGAAGGCACCTAATGTTACCAACGTCCTCCTTCTGGTGTGTTAATACCAAGTCTAGAGTAGATAGATCATGTTCCGGGTGATACCGTGTTGGTGCATGCATATGTTGCGCGAGTGCACTGTCAGTGTGAATTCCCTATTGAAACAGGTATACAAACTAGTGGATTTTGGTTCCCCCCAGTTAATGTGGGGAGCATTAAAGTCGCCAACAACCACACACCTATTTCTACTACCCCACGCCCTCAAGTGATTTAGAACGAAGTCATCAGCTTGGCTAGCAGGACTTCTGTAAATAACTCCGATCGTCAAAGTGCCTTTGCTCAGATTAGTAACGCAACTTGCAGCCTCACTGGTGCCGCTGACAACGTTGACCTAATCCCTGTGTCATCGTGGATGTATGCAGCAACCCCACCACCTTTCCGACTACTTACTCTATCTGCTCGAACGCAGATATCTGCTCGAATGCAGATGTACTCAGGTGTGAGTAGAGTTAAGTCTACACCCACTAACAACCATGTTTCAGTGATAGCAATCACATCAGGTTGTAGTCTTTCAGATAATTCTCCTTGAGGTCTTTTTCACCTTTCCCTAGCCTGGCTTTTAGTTCAGCCACAGCTTCTCTTCTTTTGATTCTATCTTCTAAAGGCCAATCAGGCCTTATTTTTAAACTTTTATCGTTAACTTTGAACGCGTTGTTGAGAATGGTGCTTTTCTCTGTTTCGTTCCCTAAAACTCTCTTAAGTAGTCGTCGAAAAGTTTCCGTAGCATCAGGGTTTCGTTTTCCGATCCTGATGGCTTTTCTTACGTGAACTCCAATTGTTTTTTCAGGAAGTATTTCCCGGATTATGGAGCTAACCGCCTTCAGATCATCTGCATGTCGGGCAGCTGGATCTGTGTTCTTGGATTCCTCCAAATTCCAGATGATAACACTGTAACTAGAGTCCGTGGGTTTCTGAGTTTGGCTGGTATTAACAGCCGTCGAGACCTTGTTGGTGAACTCGGTTGCTGTTTCTTTCCTTCGTTTATTTTGCTTCTTACCTGTCGGCACCAGCCAAGTGGATTCAGTTTCTTCCACTTTGTTTTCGCCGCGACTAGAGGCCATTCGTGCACTAGACACGCTGCGCTTTGGGGTGGCCATTTCACAGGCTGCCGTTGCCATGCTGGCACTACTTGCCCTTTTAGATTTCCTTTGTCGTTTGCGCTTTGTCGCAACAGACATTTGGGCACTCTGTGCCTCTTTCGCCTCCTGAGCTCCAGGTGGCGATACACCTTCAGTTTTAAAATTGTGTCCTGAACCGCCATTTTTGGCTATGATTTCTGGTACAGGCTTCTCGATTACGTTTTTAGTCAGTTTCTTTGACATCAGGAGTCCCACTGCCTCTTGGATGAGGACATCCAACGGGTTGCTGCAAAATTTGCACAGCCAAGGAGATGATGGCATGCAACATCTCTTATAGGCTACTGGTGACAAACCAGTGCAAACCTTGTGGAACCATTGGCTGCAGTTGTCACACTGCATACCATCATCCACCGGAAAGTGGCAGTCCGGTCGTCCACAATTGTTATTCGGACCCATAGCGCTAATTTGTTTCAACAACACAAATATATGTATGTGAAAACTGTGAGGTTTATACCAAGCAAATACACAAATGTATATACGCGAAAAAAAGCGTAAATACCAAACAAAACACAAACTGTGAGTAATATGGAGAACACTTCAACTAAATAAATCAGTTAAAGTGAACTAAAAAGCTTCTGATGTGGTTTAAACCACAAAAGCAGAATTTACTTCACAACATAAAAATGCCACTCTCCTTTTTCAAAGCGCGCGCGTTAGTCTCCAAGAGGAATGGTGCGAGGATTGGTCAAGATGTGGTTTGTAGTGTGCAGTATGTTAGGACTCGGTTGCTGCCATGAATGGAGTTTGACCTAACTCCCGTTGGTCATTCGGTGTAGTCATTAGAGTAGAATAGTAATAATAATGGGTTGTAGTGTAGATAATATAGGTTCAGATAAGTCAAATAATAAACGTGATCAGAGAAAAGATAGAGTAGACGGTAAAGTGAGAGAAGACAGAACGGGCCGTGGGGATTTAGCTTGTATGCTTATCCACTGACAGTGTGGTTTCAAATTTTAAGAGGATAAGCCATTGAGACACAAACCTTGCACTTCTGCATGATTGTCCAGCTTCCGCTTAAAAGTCTCCACAGATGGCACTGTAGTCACGGACACCGGTAAAGCGTTCCAGAGACGGCAAACTCTAAGTGAAAAGAAATGTGAACGCACTCGAGTCTTTGGTCTCTGGTGTGCTATCCTTAGCGGGTTACCTCGTGGAAGCCTATAATCACTTAATGGCAGGATGATTTTATATACAACCTTAAATATAGTTCGGGAGTAAGAGCTCCCAGCTGCCTATGCATAAAGTGTAAAGTTGCGTAAGCTTTGGCTACGTCCCTCGTGTAATTTCCACTGGTGTCTAGCTTTTCTGTTAGAATAAGACCAAGATCGCGCTTTGATGGCCATTAAGGGTGAAATATACACTCTGTGACCTACCGGAATGAAGTTGCAATACTTTGCACTTCTTTAGGTCGAAAGGCATTCCGTTAGCCAAAGCCC